CGCCAGAGCAACATTAGAGGAAGCTCTAGGGGGGAGCGCCCAAAATCTGGAAGAAATCATAATTCCAGAAGAGAACCTTCGAAAACAATTCAAAGAAAAAGACCTCATTGAGGCAATAAAATCTGGATACTTGAAAAGCCAGATCCACCGGGAAATCCTAGGGAACCCGGGGAATTTCAAAAACTTCTCGATAAAAGATGGGCTGATAACCCGACTTGGAGAAGGAGGAACGACCCAAATAGTAGTCCCAAAAGGGAACTACGAAAGAAAGTCCATTTGGGGAATAATCCTCGAGAACATCCAGGAAACACTTGGACACCTAGGATCCAAGAAAACAGTGGAAACCCTCCGTCGACACTTCTGGTGGAAGTTGATGAGAAAGGATACCCACAAGTTCTGTAGGTCTTGCGGAACTTGTCAAACGACAAAGAAAAGCACCAGGAGAAATCCCGGAATGCTTCACCCACTCCGGACCCCGGAGACACCATGGTCGTCAATAGCCATGGACTTCACAGGTCCATTCCCAACAAGCTTGGGATATGATTACCTCTGGGTAATCATTTGTAGGTTGACGTCCAACATCCACCTAATTCCAATAAAGACAACAACAAATGCACTAGAACTAGCATTTGTATTTCTTTGTGAAGTTGTAAGACTCCACGGTCTACCACACTCGATCATATCAGATCGAGACTCAAAATTCATGTCAAAATTTTGGCACGAACTACACCAAATACTCGGTGTGCAGTTGAAATTCACAACTGCATTCCACCTGCAAGGCGACGGCCAAGCGGCAAGAATGATACAAAAAGTAGTACAAATACTACGCGCGATGGTTAGACCAGACCAACGCGACTGGGCAGCGAAACTGTCGATGGCGGAATTCATGATCAACGCGAGCTCGAACACATCAACAGGATTTGCCCTGTTCGAATTAATCTACGGCCATATGCCAAAGATGTGGCTAACAGCACCACTCTCGGACTACCCAGGAGTAAATGACTTCGCTCAAAAAGTGAAGGAAAACCTCATGGCAGCACACGACGCGATAATACATAATCACACTGCTCAAACAATCCAGGCGAATAAGAAAAGACACCCGGACCTGCCTTTGAGAAAAGGCGAGTTTGCATACTTATCCACGGATAAGCTGAACCTACCCAAAGGCAGGGCAGGAAAACTAAAGCCCTTATACATAGGGCCTTACAAAATTCTGGAAACATTTCCAGAGACGTCAAACTACGTCCTCAAGTTGCCACCACAACTTGAACAATGCGGAATCCACCCAAGATTCCATGTATCCCGGCTCGTACCTCACGAGCCAAATGACCAGGAAATCTTCCCAAATAGGGAAGTAAACATATTCTACGATTTTGGGGAAGACCCCGATCACGAAGCAGTAGTTTGCGAAATCCTAAACCACGCGTGGGTTCACAATGAACTCTGGTTTAAGGCCAAATGGGAACTAGGGGACACCACATGGGAACCCCTAGGAAATTGCAATGACCTCATCCACCTGGACGAGTACCTCACCTTACAAAATGTAAGGGAACCAGAAAAACTCCCTATCAAAGAAGACAGGGAACTCTCGGCATCACTATGCCCCCAAAAACAGAGGCAGAGGAAGTAAAGCCGAGGGACGATGGCCCACAGCCAAGAGCGTGGGAAAGTTCTGGGCGAGTAACTCGCCCGGACAGCCACACCATGTACTAGAGATCACATGGGCTAGGCAAGTAACTCACCTAGACCATGTGAACCACAGGCTCACGTGCAAAAGAACACATAACTGCGGCGAATCCCACGCATGCAAGAACGAAAACCCCTCCCACCACCATGAGTAACATAATGACGAAATGTCGTTCTCTGGGGGAGGCAACCCTCAGTTCGATCCAAACAAACCACCGGATATCGAAATACGACAACCCAGGGAGCAAGGCTCCCCGGAACAACAACAACACCAGGCACAAATAAGCGCCATGGATTACACAACGCACGCAGCACAAATGAGTGCTGCGAACCAACAACCATCCGTGTTGCTAACAGGCACCGCATACCCCCAGCCTCCCCAAAGAGGCTTCCAACCATACACAGTGCAAACTGCACCAATGGCGCAACAAGCGCCATTCCAGGGGCAGCATTTGCTGCTGCAGCCCCAGGCAATACTCCCCAGGGAACTTCCCTGGCCAGATCAACCCCTGGATTAGCCAATTCGGCCCAGGTCCAACAACACCCCAGCCAAATGCAGGCTGGGAATCAGCCATCGCGTCAGTGGTAGCTGCTCAGACAGGTCAGCTCCGTGAGGAGCTGAAAGAGATGAAGTCCCTTGTAGGAGGGAGATGAGGGAGCGACAGCGGCTCCTCGTCCAGACCATCCAAATGGGCATGGTCTGATAACTGGAGGGCATCAGAAGACGCCTGTGACCATTGCGCCCACTGGAGGCGTGAATACAACAGAGCACGAAGAGATGCTGAGGGCATCTTTGACTCTCTGAAAGACACAGAGAGAGAAGTCGATCTCCAAAAAAGGGAGATTGAATTACTGACACGCGAGCTCAGAGAGGCACGTGCACTGGCAGACCTCGCTGCCAAACCCATCATGATGGGGGCCTCCCAGGTCAGGGGAGGGGATACGGTTCCGGGCCTCATGAAGCGCAACCCCACATGGGGACTAGCGCATCAAGGGGTGGGGCACCGACTATCCCGCCACCCCGTGGGCAGGCAACCCTGTCTGGGTTGCATAAGGGCCCGCCCTCAGAGGGGCAAACCCATGTCGAGGGGAAGAGGGAGAGCGGTAGGCAACCGATGGCAGACCCTAAAACAGGGACCACTGCCAGAGGCGGCGGGCCGCTGAGTACCTCAGCACCCTATGGGCAAGCTACCCTGCAGGGAAGTGTCCACATGCTATACGAGACCACCGAACTCAACGAGTTCAGCAAAGTCGAAGCTCCAGTCGACATAACAATCGACCCCAACTTCCCCATGAGGAGAATAGCGGGGTCAGAAGCGGCGCATGACGCCGCATACGCTTGGTGGACAAGCGTGAGTGGGAAAGAATTCGTACACTGGTACGAACAGGCTGAAGCCGCCTTCAAAAGCGGCAAGGTACACAGAATCCTTCGCAAAAAAGCGAAGGAAACCAAGAAATACTTCTTGGGACTCCCGAGTATCGCAAGACTCACAGAGGAATATAATTCCCCAGAGAATAAGGGGAAAATCTCCTGGGAAAGTCTAGGCAAAGCTGCCTACTTAAAGTCCCAGTTCAAACCACTCAGGACTCCTGAGGAACATGCTGCAAGAACAACTGCGGAACGGGAAGCGAAAGCTTCCAAATACCGGGAAAGAGATGCAAGTCTCCGTGCTGGACAACCAGCCCAACGACCACCCTTCCCCACGGGAAGAACGGTGGACCTACCGTACTCTACACCTGAGCCAAGCAGCTCAGGAACACAACAACCCGCTCCCACCCAGGGAGCGCCCACTTCATCGAGCCCACAGCCCGACAATGTAGCCCAGGCTATGTCATCGCATCCGACGCAGCAATCGGATGTCCAGATGAACAACCCAGAGGAAAACCCTCCTCCAGGGCAATGACTCCACCCTTGAGAGAGGGGAAAGTGACACGGTAATACACCATCGAGGCACCCATGAAAACACCTTCCCCCAACTCGAGGCCCACTCGAGGCCCCGCACACAATACTGTATGCGAGGAACCGCAAGTAACGATTGCAGAAATCTCCACTCCGTCAAAAGACCCACATCCACCACTGCTCATGTGTAAACACCACTTACACACGAACCCTCACAGAACAAGTGAGGAACACCAAAGACATACAACCTTTGGGTCGAAATTCATTTTCGACAAACTCCACCATTTTTTTTTTTCTCTCCCTGCGATACCAATGTATCGCCGTTCACTTCAAAGTAACGGCCCACACTCATTCATTCCTTAAACCCCCTCTCTTTTCTTCACCAACATGTACAAAATTGCCCACTTTAAAGTGGCGACAACAAAACACTCATTGATAATTCCAAACTCAATGTAAATCAATTATTAAAACTCTGTTTTATTCACTATCAACCTTGTATGCGTCGCAAATGCAACGCAAGGGGGGAGAATGTCAGGGCAATAGCCCCGAACCCCGAGCCACATGTAAATTAGATACATATAGTCACGTGGGCAAGTGGGAACCTCCGGGTAACTGCTTACACACCACCGTAAAATACACAAACTTGTATCACTTACGGCCTTGTGTGCTGAGCTACCCAAAGACCTCACAACAGTGCTCCGCTTGAGTCGCTGAGGCCAAGGTCCTTCCATGCTAAGTCTCCGATTCCACTCCGGAGTTGTCTGAATCCGCACCTCATCTCTAACAATGCACTTACACACAGTTGCCTGCAGAAAGACTTTCAAAACAACTTCACGTGAGAAGTCCGAGGTCACGATGACTTGAATGATTATGTAACAATAGTGTGGCACTCTGTATCACCTGTTTGGGTGTGGGTGTTTATTCAGAAGCATGCACTCAATGGGTGAGATTGGTTCGGACTTGACAGTACTGGGAGACAGCAGCACAGAGGTAATTGAGTTGTGGACGAATTACATGGGATGTGGATGACTCAGCACGGGGTTATCAGCTTAGGGCCGAGTTGTGGAAAATGTTTTGAAGAGGGAGTTTTGTGCTTTTGGCACTTGTGCAGCCTCGGAGCGAAAGTCGCTCTTTTGGTTAAGATGGCAAGTGTTGTGACTGACTTGTGACTGAGTCTTTTGACGGACTTATGGCTGACTTGTGGTACTGTGAATACCCCTTTTGATCAGGGCCCTCACTAGCTCAGTTGTGGCCCAATCCCATCATGTAACATTCTTGAATACATCGAGCACTCAAACAGTATACAACAAGGAAGTTAGCCCACTTAAGAGTCACATACAACAACTCCACTACATATGATGAATGTTCTCAATCACTTAAACAATGTAAACCAGACACAAGAGAAACCTGGCATTCACCAATCCCATGATTCCTTCCAGGTGGGTTTGAACAAAGCCTTTTGGCGCCGTGCCAATGCAGCATTGCCTTCTCTCGGAATTTCGGCTGCCAATGTCGTGGCTTGTAACAAGGAAGCATACCTGGCATTGTACTCCGGGGGTATCACGGAATATGTTTTAGCAGTGCAGCCTTTCGCCAGGATGAAGTAATGATCATCTTCCCGTGATTGGTTGTGTGGCTTCCGCTGGCCCGATCGCACACTGACGTTCTGCTCGTTGCTCAGCATGTCAGACCCTAACTCAAGAAAGAGCGATATGATGGGTGTTCCAGGGGGAGGATTCGAGATCTTGGGGTCAATGTGGCCATTTTTTATTGACTCGCGGTTCTTGATTTGAACTTGAAGTACGGAAGTCCTGTCACAGCAGATGGCATCCTTTACAGGATCCCCAAAGAAGACCGGAATGATGAGATCCACAGCCCGCTGTGTACCTGCACAGTTCACAGCTGCCCCACGCAGCATCAATTTGCACACATACTGTATGTCAATATGATGATCGTTTTCACGGTCAATCTGAACAAAATGCGAGAAGTTGATGTAGGCATCCTTGTATGCGGCCTTAAGTGTACGTGCACCGCTTCGCCCGGCCACCGGTAGAGCATTGAGTATGATGTTGTGAAACCTGTCAGCAAACAGGCACTTCAGGAAGTCGAGCACCCTGATAGCTGAATGGAAGTCGGGTGTATGTCCATATGATGGGTTACAGTGCATGATTACGGTATCATGTGCAATAGTCATGAGCAGACGACCAATAACTTCCCCACGTTCTCCACGAGCAAGCAGATTACCCCCCAGCGCATTTGACAGTATTTCCGGTCCCTCAAATGCAATCGGTGGGAGGTTGTTGTTAAGGCCATCATGACGCTTTTGATTGAGCAATCGTGACGCAGCTTCGGCAAGAACGGGCTCAGACGGATATCCAGAGTACATACAATCACGATGCTTCGGCACCGCATAGACTACCCGCATGTACGACTCAACTAAGGTTGAAACCATCGAACGTGCAACTTCACGTGTAAGGTCATAAGATAGTTGGATCCTGATGTCAAGAGCCGCAATCATGGCATGACCATCCTTGTCGCTGTGCTCACAGTGGGTGCCTGTAGCGAGAGCAACTGTGGCCCTCTTTGGGTCGAGTTTTCTCATTGCAAAGTCAAAGATGTTTTCGGATTTAGTCCTCCTGTTATCATACAGGGAGAACCACCTAGATAGAGTAATGTTTGAGATGAGCCTGAACCATGAAAGCAGGATGCCCATACTAACAGCGGTCTACCGAAGCGAGCCAACATTTCTGTGGAGCACATCTCTTTTAGTGTGATCGAAGAATCCTTTGCATCAAGCCTGTCGCACAACCCCTTCGATCCTTTCGATGCCCCCGTGAATATATCAAATGGGAGTTCTGTGTATGGTGGGAACAATATTGTCTGGGCGCCAAACACCCGGGCTGAAGGATGAGAGGCCATTGTAGGGGCCAATGACTTCAATTTCGAATTCGTCGACAGGAACAAGGCAAAGACAGGGATAGTTTTCAGATATGTCAATGCAGTACCTAGTGAGTGGTAGGCGCTACGATTGCGGCCATTGTTCCGCCTTGGTGGATGATCCGTGAGGGTGTGGGCCTCATCGATATAAATGAAAAATGCGCAACCGGATGGAGGACATTTAGGGTCGGGATGGAGCGCCTTAACGAGGCGCCCATAAGAAGTAACGAGACGCTCTTCCACAACCTGTGTCCAGGTGGCGGATGCAGCACCTGGAGCCACAGGTTCCCCGAGGCCGGGCAATGGGAATTCCTGATCATAGAGTAAATTCAACACCATAATGCTGTACTTGGAACAAATACCTTTGCCTCTTTGATCACATCCTTATAGAAGTTCCTTCGATTCTCCCCCATGTCCTGCATCGAGCGGCCTTTAGTAAGGTAATCGTGCCATTTGCTAGCGATTTCGGAGTGCGTGGACAATCCCCACGGACGCACAATACGCTCTGCGACATCAAACATGGCTATCAAAAACGCAAGGTACCGGTGCACTAGGTCATCACTTGTGTCGACCCCTTTGGGAAGGAGATAATCTCGGACCTCTTCATCAGAAGGTGGGTAAGCTTTGTTGGATTAATCAATGTAGATGTCTCAAAGCAAAAGATGGCAATTACTTACTCCCCAAATGCCCAGACAACGTCTCTCTAAGGTTCAAGGAAAATGCGAACCTCTCCTCGGCAGCCTTGTCCACCAATCGAGACTTGCCACACCCGGAGGATTGCACAACTGACATTGAAAAGTTGTACACATCCTTCACTAAGACGTACTCATCCATGGTCTTCAACAAGGCATTGTGGTCCTCGCCAACAAAAGGTTGCACAAAGGACTGAACCGATGCTAGAGGCAAAGTCACCAGCAGTTGCGACACTGTGCAAAGGGATACGAACCGAGCTCCAGTGTTGTTTGCAAGTTGTCAAGTGAAAGTTAGCTAAGAACCATTTAAGCGTTGATGACGCACCCCAATTCTCAACCGGTGCTGCAGCTTCATGGTTGGCACGGTCGTCACTCCGAGATCCGGCTGGAGGAGACTGGCATGGGCCATCTGCGCGAAATGCTAAGTATTTGACAACACGAGGATCACAAGGCAGCATACAAGTGCTCTCAATTCGGGCCAAGGAGCGGATTTGGTAGTCCTCTGCAAGTAGTTTCAACTCATCGACGTCCGGCTCATCGTAGTCAGGATAATACTCTCTGATAAGACAGCCAAGATCCAACAAGACACGAGCCTTCGTTGTATCTGCGTTAGGATGTTGTTGGTGGAAACGCTTGAATACATCGTCTTCATCACTGGGAGGGAGGCGACCATTCAGACGGAGTCCGCCGAGCCCCTCAATCAGTTGATTGCTACCCATTCAGATGTGGACAGCTGCCAGCAAGGCAAGACAAAACAGATCGGCCAAGTAGGTCATGTGGCTTCCCTAGTTGGTTCCGCATTCCGCTTATGTAATCAAATCCCGCGCTTAATTCCACTATTTCCAATAGTGGGGGTCGGCGGGTTGCCATGATACAGTCACGTGCAAAGATTCATAGTCCCGAAGCAAGGGTAAAATGTTAGGGGATGTAACACCCTCTACTGTAACTTTTGGGTTTAGTGATATATAGAAAAAATCATTGTGTGATGTTAAGGAAGAGTGCATTCCAGCCAGTTTTTTTTCTTTCTTGCTGGATATGGAGATATGGCTGTAAAAATCCACGTTTTGGCATATTCTGGGCCAAAAATCGAAAAACTGCCTGGAATGCACTCATGACAGCATCATTTAAAGATGATTTTCATACTGCCAGAAGAGGGTTTTTGTGTTGAAATTTTGAGTTTTGTCCTCATCATTGGCACGTTCTTGTTTCAATTCATCGGAACCCGCATTATAATTTCGCTTTGACAGGGCATAAAGGGATTAATGATATGTTACATATGCTACAGAATAATGTCAAATCCCTGGGGCTTTAACAAGACTTCCAATAATGGAAAGCAGAGTGCAAGGATGCTAATGAAAGCAAGGCATGGAGCGCAGTTCAGAGAACATGTCGGAGGAAACTTTCAATGACATCCAAATGGTGCGACGGAACAACACTGAAGCATTTGCAGATGCCAAGCTATCAAATGAGGTGCAGGCTGCGATAATGCAAAAGGCAAGGGAGAGTGGCACACTCCCTTCCAAGGCCCGAAGGGCGGTTATTGTGGCAAAACAACAGGAAAAAATCACACTGAACCAGAGGAAGGAGGCTGAAAGGGTGGAGAAAGCCAGTGTGAGGTCTTTGGGGTTGCTCAGCACACAAAGCCGTAAGTGATACAAGATGATGTATTTTACGGTGGTGTGTAAGCGGTTACCCGGAGGTTCCCACTTGTCCACGTGACTATATCTATCTAGTTTACATGTGACTCGGGGTTCGGGGCTATTGCCCTGACATTCTCCCCCCTTGCGTTGCATATGCGACGCATACAAAGTTGATAGTGAATAAAAACAGAATTTTAATAGTTGGTTTACATTGAGTTCGGAATTATCAATGAGTGTTTCTGTTGTCGCCACTTTAAAGTGGGCGATTTTGTACATGTTGGTGAAAGGAAGAGAAGGGGTTTGAATGAGTGTGGGCCGTTACTTTGAAGTGAACGGCGATACATTGGTATCGCAGGGAGAGAAGAAAGAAGTGGTGGAGTTTGTCGAAAATGGATTTCGACCCAAAGGTTGTATTTCTTTGGTGTTCCTCACTTGTTCTGTGAGGGTTCGTGTGTAAGTGGTGTTTACACACGAGCGGTGGTGGGTGTGGGTCTTTTGGCGGAGTGGAGATTTCCGCAGTTGTTACTTGCGGTTCCTCGCATACAGTATTGTGTGCGGGGCCTCGAGTTGGGGGGGGGTGTTTTCACGGGCGCCTCGATGGCGTATTACCGTGTCACTCTCCCTTCTCTCAAGGGTGGATTCATTGCCCCGGAGGAGGGTTTTCCTCCGGGTTGTTCATCTGGACATCCGATTGCTGCGTCGGATGCGATGACGTAGCCTGGGCTACATTGTCGGGCTGTGGGCTCGACGAAGTGGGTGCTCCCTGGGTGGGAGCGGGTTGTTGTGTTCCTGAGCTGCTTGGCTCAGGTGTAGAGTACGGTAGGTTTACCGTTCTTCCCGTGGGGAAGGATGGTCGTTGGGCTGGTTGTCCAGCTCGGAGACTTGCGTCTCTTTCCCGGTATTTGGAAGCTTTCGCTTCCCGCTCCGCCGTTCTTGCGGCACGTTCCTCAGGAGTCCTGAGTGGTTTGAACTGGGACTTTAAGTAGGCAGCTTTGCCTAGACTTTCCCAGGAGATTTTTCCCTTGTTCTCCGGGGAATTATATTCCTCCGCGAGTCTTGCGATGCTCGGGAGTCCCAAGAAGTATTTCTCGGTTTCCTTCGCTTTTTCGCGAAGGGTTCTGTGTACCTTGCCGCTTTTGAAGGCGGCTTCAGCCTGTTCGTACCAGTGTACGAATTCTTTCCCACTCACGCTTGTCCACCAAGCGTATGCGGCGTCATGCGCCGCTTCTGACCCCACTATTCTCCTCATGGGGAAGTTGGGGTCGATTGTTATGTCGACTGGAGCTTCGACTTTGCCGAACTCGTTGAGTTCGGCGGTCTCGTATAGCATGTGGACACTTCCCTGCAGGGTGGCTTGCCCATAGGGTGCTGAGGTACTCAGTGGCCCGCCGCCTCTGGCAGTGGTCCCCGTTTTAGGGTCTGCCGTCGGTTGCCTACCACTCTCCCTCTTCCCCTCGACATGGGTTTGCCCCTCTGAGGGCGGGCCTTTATGCAACCCGGACAGGGTCGCCTGCCCATGGGGTGGCGGGATAGTCGGTGCCCCACCCCTTGATGCGCTAGTCCCCATTTGGGGTCGCGCCTCATGAGGCCCGGAACCGTATCCCCTCCCCCTGACCTGGGAGGCCCCCGTCATGATGGGTTTGGCAGCGAGGTCTGCCAGTGCGCGTGCCTCTCTGAGCTCGCGTTTCAGTAATTCGATCTCCCTTTTTTGGAGATCGACTTCTCTCTCTGCGTCTTTCAGAGAGTCAAAGATGCCCTCAGCATCTCTTCGTGCTCTATTGTATTCGCGCCTCCAGTGGGCGCAATGGTCGCAGGCGTCTTCTGACGCCCTCGAGTTATTAGACCGTGCCCGCTTGGACGGTCTGGACGAGGAGCCGCTGTCGCTCCCTCGTCTCCCTCCTACGAGGGACTTCATTTCTTTCAGCTCCTCACGGAGTTGACCTGTCTGAGCAGCTACCGCTGACGCGATGGCTGATTCCCAGCCTGCATTTGGCTGGGGCGTTGTTGGACCTGGGCCGAATTGGCTAAACCAGGGGTTGATCTGGCCAGGGAAGTTCCCTGGGGAGTATGCCTGGGGCTGCAGCAGCAAATGCTGCCCCTGGAATGGCGCTTGTTGCGCCATCGGTGCAGTTTGCACCGCGTATGGTTGGAAGCCTCTTTGGGGAGGCTGGGGGTGTGCGATGCCTGTTGGCAACGTGGATGGTTGATGGTTCGCAGCACTCATTTGTGCTGCGTGCGTCGTGTAATCCATGGCGCTTATCTGCGCCTGGTGTTGTTGTTGTTCTGGGGAGCCTTGCTCCCCGGGTTGTCGTATTTCGATATCCGGCGGTTTGTTTGGATCGAACCGAGGGTTGCCTCCCCCAGAGAACGACATCTCGTCGTTATGTTACTCGTGGCGGTGGGAGGGGTCTTCGTTCTTGTGTGCGTGGGATTCGCCGCGGTTGTGTGTTCTTTTGCACGTGAGCCTGTGGTTCACGTGGTCTAGGCGAGTTGCTTGCCTAGCCCATGTGATTTCTTGTACATGGTGTGGCTGTCCGGGCGAGTTACTCGCCCAGAACTTTCCCACGCTCTTGGCTGTGGGCCATCATCCCTCGGCTTTACTTCTTCCGCCTCCGTTTTTGGGGGCGTAATAATGCCGAGAGTTCCCTGTCTTCTTTGATAGGGAGTTTTTCTGGTTCCCTTACATTTTGTAAGGTGAGGTACTCGTCCAGGTGGACGAGGTCGTCGCAATTTCCTAGGGGTTCCCATGTGGTGTCCCCTAGTTCCCATTTAACCTTAAACCAGAGTTCGTTGTGAACCCACGCGTGGTTTAGGATTTCGCGAACTACTGCTTCGCGATCAGGGTCTTCCCCGAAATCGTAGAATATGTTTACTTCCCTATTTGGGAAGGTTTCCTGGTCATTCGGCTCGTGAGGTGCTAGCCGGGATACATGGAATCTTGGGTGGATTCCGCGTTGTTCAAGTTGTGGTGGCAACTTGAGGACGTAGTTGGACGTTTCTGGAAATGTTTCCAGGATTTCATAAGGCCCTATGTATAGGGGCTTTAGTTTTCCTGCCCTGCCTTTGGGTAGGTTCAGCTTATCTGTGGATAAGTATGCGAGCTCGCCTTTTTTCAAAGGCGGGTCCGGGCGTCTTTTCTTATTCGCCTGGATTGTTTGAGCAGCGCGATTATGTATTATCGCGTCGTGTGCTGCCATGAGGTTTTCCTTCGCTTTTTGAGCAAAGTTGTTTATTCCCGGGTAGTCCGAGAGTGGTGCTGTTAGGCACATTTTTGGCATATGGCCGTAGATTAATTCGAACAGGGCAAATCCTGTCGATGTGTTCGAGCTCGCATTGATCGCGAATTCCGCCATCGACAGTTTCGCTGCCCAGTCGCGTTGGTCTGGTCTAACCATCGCGCGTAGTATTTGTACTACTTTTTGTATCATTCTTTCCGCTTGGCCGTCGCCTTGCGGGTGGAATGCAGTTGTGAATTTCAACTGTACACCGAGTATTCGGTGTAGTTCGCGCCAAAATTTTGACGTGAATTTCGAGTCTCGATCTGATATGATCGAGTGTGGTAGACCGTGGAGTCTTACAACTTCACGAAGAAATACGAATGCTAGTTCTAGTGCGTTCGTTGTTGTTTTTATTGGAATTAGGTGGACGTTGGACGTCAACCTACAGATGATTACCCAGAGGTAATCATATCCCAGGCTTGTTGGGAATGGACCTGTGAAGTCCATGGCTATTGATGACCATGGTGCCTCGGGGGTCGGGAGTGGGTGAAGCAGTCCGGGATTTCTCCTGGTGCTTTTCTTGGTTGTTTGGCAAGTTCCGCAAGACCTGCAGAACTTGTGGGTGTCTTTTCTCATCGACTTCCACCAGAAGTGTCGACGGAGGGTTTCCACTGTTTTCTTGGATCCTAGATGTCCAAGTGTTTCGTGGATGCTCTCGAGGATTATTCCCCGAATGGACTTCCTTTCGTAGTTTCCTTTCGGGACTACTATCTGGGTCGTTCCTCCTTCTCCAAGTCGGGTTATCAGTCCGTCTTTTACGGAGAAGTTTTTGAAATTCCCCGGGTTCTCTAGGATTTCCCG